CAAAAAATCGATATTTTGGCGCTTACTTCGCTGGCTAAACTTTAATATAGAATCGTAGTTGTTAAAAAAGTCTAGACCAAAAGTCCGCGCTAGCATAATAATAAGTCTATCTCCAGTAACCATTTTTATCTTTGAAATATTAATAAAAATATTTGTTTCTTTGCGAAGATGTTTTCTCTATTTCAGTATTATAAATGAAGATGTTAGTTAACTTGGGCATTAAATAATTAATTTTAAATTATATCATTTAAATAAATACCTACTTTAGAATATATCACACACTCGAAATTACGTGCAAGAAAAAAATCACGGCACGCCTCCGCCGCGACCTCCTTCGTTTACAGCGCATGATAACCAGCATTTTGTAAAGTTGTTGTTCAGAGTTGTTGTTGTCTTGACATCGAAAATCCTTGCGTTTTAGAAAATGACCTTCAAGAACTGGTAAACAAAGTTTATCCCAATATAACCATCATCTTTTTCAGTGACGATCAACAAATCACAAGGTCAAACACATTCAATGTTTCGGGTTTAGACCTGAGCGATGAGTGTTTTTCTAATGAACATCTATATCGTATTGTGCAATGAAAAGTCAGCTGTAAACATTGTATATAAAGATTAAAGACATACTGTAATAACTGGCAGTACTGATAAAACTTTGACATTAACAGGTAAATTACCCAGAGTTATTAAATCTGTAAGCCGTGGACAAGTTTGAATCTATGTTTCACGATAATACACGATAAGATATTTTCTTAGCGCATTTTTCGTAATAATGAATTATCAAATATCAAAGCGACAAACTAAATCGATCGAACAGTGCTTTTTAAACATAAATGACACCGCATGTAAATTGAAATATTTTTGATTTTACTTCGAGCCGTTCGAGGTTTGTTGGTCAGGGGCCAAAAAGTTAAAAGCGATTTTTTTTTATTCAACTAGGATATTATATGTATAACTTTTTCGGGTGTCGTTCATGGAGGCAAAGGGCCCCTTGAGCTTGGGGGCCCCGGGGCACCGCCCCGCCTAGCCACAAGGTAGCTACGCCACTGAATACATACATACATATACATACAAGTCATGCAAGAATTGACTGGGACGACAAAGAAAATTAGTGCTCTTTAACTCACCTTTTATACTGACACTGTTTCATACTCAGTTACCTGGGGTCATTTCTGTTTAAAGTCATAATTGTCCGTGATGGAACGGAGAAGGTGACGCGTTTAAGGTTAGAGGTTGTTTGTTTGTGTATGCAAACGAATGTTGCATTTATCTCCAAAATGGTTTCACCGAATTAAATACAGTTTTCGTAAAGGTTTGTGATTCATCGGCGATGGTTCTTAGATAGTTGTTATAGTGTTAGTTCACCAGGGGGCGCTGCAATAAGCATATTTGTGCAAAATAATTTCCCATTTAACTCCAAAACGGTTTGACCGATTTAGATACGGATTGCTGTAAGGTGTTTATGATTCATCGGCGATGGTGTTTGTGTAGGTAACAGGTATTATCGGGCGCTGCAATAAACACATTTGTGTATACCAATGTTCTCATTTATCATCCAAAGAGTTTGATCTAATTAGATACGGTTTTCTGTAAAGGGTTTGTAATTCACCGGCAATGGTTCTTAGATAGGTGTAATGGTGTTAAGTCGCCAGGGGGTGCTGCAATAAACCATTTTTACTCGTTGCAGCGCATTTTTCCAGGAGACAGCTTGACCGATTTAGATGCGATTATCGATATCACATAGCATATTTGTGTTCTTAGAGTAATCACTATGTTAATACCATAATAACAGATCTAGATCATAAACAGCTTTGTGGCCTTTCTTCGGCTTCTTTGATTTATAACCCGCGCAACGTACTTCTCATTCGCTCTAACTCTTCTCTAACCCTAAAAAGTTTTCTTTGATTCAGATCAGTTACTACTACGCCATCTAAAAATCGTACTCTACTAAGAGTCACATAAACTTGCCCTTTGGCAAATGTTGTGGGTCTTATATGTATGCTCGTCTTATCAACTGTATTGCCTTCCAATGTATGCACTGTAACGGGCCAACGTGATATGAGCGGAATAATTACCTTTTCTATTTTGCCAGCACCTTCGTTGCCTTGAAATGATACATTCATTGGCATACCTCTCTAACTTATTTTCATAATGGTAACTTCTACTATAAAGCGGTCATCAAATTGAATTAGAATTTTTGGGCAACTCTCCATCTTCTAACTGGTCTCTTCTTAACCCTTTCCACTGAAAATCCCAAACTATTCCCATGTTGCCATTGACTAATTATTCGCTGAATTTGATGTTCATTCTGAACATCACTCGTGTACCTCTACCCAACTTTATGTGTGATACTAGGCCTCGTGTTATTTGGTTCCACTGAAACGACAGCAGGTGGAGGTTTCTGTACATAGTTGTTCATGACTCATCTCCTGCATTTATTGCGTACAGTTTCGTGGTTAGTTTGGTTAATACCATTGTCTGATTCTGACGAGTTGTAAGTTGGGATATATGCGAACAGCTTCCCCATCGACAAAGTTTCTCTCTAAAGGAACACGAGTTCTCTCCAGAAGTAGCTGATACTGTTTCATGCTTAGTTCTTCCACTCGTAAATTGTCGAGTAGATAGAAAGATGTACAAATATTTAGACAGTAACTTATTCTCAAAATGTCTAAAATAAACAGCGAAATTAAAAATTTTGAAAAAACCTACGACGGCTACAAAAGTTGTGTTCGAAAAAGAATTAAATAAAATTAAAAAAAAACTCGACTAAAAGAAAGTAAGTCGCGAAATATAAAAATAAGATCGTTTAAACATGTCTGTGGCATATTTTGCGATATGACCAAGGCATTGGATTACATACATATATTATGCTACTCTTTTAAGAAAACGTGAAGCCTAAAAACCTAAAGTATTAGAGGCAATATTCTTAATCTAATTGAATCGTATTTAAAAAATAGAATACAAATAACTGAAAGAATCAAATTAATATAGCGAATAATAAGGAAGAGATATTTCGATCGTCAGAGCGTGAAGTTAAATTTGGAGTGCCACAGGGAAGTGTACTGGGTCCTTTTATATTTATATTGTACATTAATGACTTACCTAAATGCATAGAGCAACAAGTGATACTGTTTGCGGATGATAGCACAGTGACAATACCATGGAAAAGTGTTGAGACCTATGAAAGTGACATTAATAAAACTCCTTAAAATTACTTGTAAACTGGTTAATTGAAAACAATTTAAAAATAAACTTGTCTAAAACAAAACTTACACATTTTATTCAACGGATTTCCTTGCATGAGCATTAATTAATGATTTTCACTACAATAATGATGTTGTAAAAGAAGTTGAAACTACAAAATTCATGGGTCTCGAAATAGATAAACATTTTAACTGGAAAGCACACGTTTATATTTACGTAAGAAAATTAGTCAATCCGCATATTCTTTACATACTTTGTCTTCAATAATATACACGGATGCACTTCTCACTGCTTACTACGGCTTAACGGAATCCCAGCTCCAATATGGAATAATATTTTGGGGTAACTCAATCGAAAAGAACAGCGTTTAAGACTCAAAAAAGATGCATAAGGGCGATGTTTAAGCTTAAAACTACCGATACTGCCATATTTTAAATAGTAGTACATACTAGAAGTAGCTTTGTTTGTTAAGTTGCACCCAAATCATTTTAAACGCCTTGCCGATGTAGTTTCACGTAGTAGACGCGACAATACCCTATTGTGTCATCAATCCGCTAACACAGCACTAATACGCAAAAGTGTCGACTGCATGGTTCCGGTCATATATGATAAAATACCTAAAAGTTGGAAAGAATTACATAATGATTTCTTATATTTACGCGAACACTACACATCGAATAAAACTATTTTTACGGATTTTATCGCGTTTAATTAACTTATTTTATATTCCCGACGTTTCGGTTGCTTTCCAGCAACCGTGGTCACGAGGGACTGAGGTGATTGACGTCCCGATGTCAAAGTTAACCCGGAGTACCTTCAGCTTTTTAATTATTAATTTTGGTCCGATCTACGCAGAATGAACTAACTGTGTCTTGAAGTCTTGCAGTGGTATGCTTGGGTTTAGTTTTAATTTTATGAATTACAGGATTCCAAGCAGGTGGTAGTACCCAGCCTCCCTCTCTATTGAAATTAGGATGTTTTTTAATTTCAATAGCCTCACGTATCATCCTTGGCAGGAATCGATGTTCTTTCGCGAGGACTTGTGGTTTATCAAATCTAATGTAATGGCGGGGGCCGTTTAGGATATGATCACAAACTGCAGACTTCCCGGAACGTTGGTGCTTCACGTCAGCTATTGGAAAGAATTTCCGCTATCGTTATTTAAAAAAAGGCTCCAAAGTTTTTTGACAGTCAAAGCATACTAATAAAGCTTAACAGAATTCTTGACTGAAAAAGGTTTTCTTTTGAGATTACGACTGCGTAATGTTAATCAGAGTTATGTTTGGTTTTGTGTTGTTTTATTAGTTGAGTGGATTAGTTTACAATTCTGTATTTTTTGCATGCCTACTGGTTAAATATGGCTGAACTCACTTCCTGAATTACCATGTACGGTACCCATATTTGCAAAATAATATATCTTTATACTTTTAAAAAGGGTTGATTTTTCGCAAGGTCTATCATAATAAACAACTTGTTATGAGTTCCCTTAGTCCTTCCTACCTTTGTGTACCTATTTGTTTGTCATAGCGATAAACACAGCAATAATATCCAGTATAGGTAGAGGTACAACACGTATTCACCTACCTAATATGTAATATAGTTACAAACCCAAGTAAATCCGTCCGATCAGTTAAAAAAATGTCCCGCTGGGTTTCTTGCTGGTCCTTCCCAGGACAGAGGTATTTTCCGAACCTGTGGTAAATCAAATATAAAAATTACTTTTAATAAGTATTATTTATAATCTATATTGAATAAAAAAAAGTTTATTTATCATTTTCTATTTATAATTTTTGCAGATTCATGTGTGTGGATACGGTGGAGCAGTCTATCAGACAGCTGCAGAAAGTCAAGCTGGAGTTGGCCGACAACGTGCTGACAGGGGCCCGACACAACAACGCATCCAAGCTCTCCATCGAGGACCTCAAGATGCTCTTCAATATGGGGCAGTGAGTTGAAGAGATAGTGTTGAATGTAATTAAAATGCGCAATTCGCTATATCCTAGTCGATCGTGAACAGAGTCATGTGCGGACTGTGTCATACCCGAAACTGAACCGTGACGTTTTTTGACTTATACCGGATCGTGTTATCAAATAAACCGGATCTCGTCACGCAGTGATACGGTTCTTGTCATCTGTATCGTTTGTGTGGTGCGTGAATATCATCTACTTATCCTTAACTGAGAGTTTCAAAGCTTAACTGTTAACTTGTTGAACTTGAAAGTCTCAGTCAAGGATGTCAAGGAAAATGCCATTTGTTTTTGTGTCATAACTGATTCGAACTAAAACTAGGTCTGATTAAAACTATCCTAAATAATAACGTTGCAATTACCCTTTCTCTGGAATGCAATTGAATTCTTATAAAGACGGATCGAACATTGAAATTTAACCAGTGATTACATCCGACAATTCCATTTGGCTCAAAGCCAAGTTTCTACTAATAGTGGATTCTATTATTTCACTGCACTCTTGCTTTAGTAACATTTTCTTAAAATATATGTCTATAATAATTAATATTTAAATGGAAATTATTGTAAAAAAAACAATGCAATATATATATAACTTTCAGTGTTACATGTCAATAAATGTGCTGTAATAAATCTTCTACGAGGATAACTAAAAATAATTTTCATATTTATGATTGTGGGAAAAATTATACAGTTTGACATTCGTTTTTTCATGCAAAACCGGCCTTAGTCATCCGAGCGCTCAGGGCAAGAAACCTCTCCCCTATCCCTTTACTCAATCACAATTTTTTTTACTATAATAAGTCAGCGCTTGACTACTATCCCACTTGATGGCGAGTAGTGAAGCAGTCGAAGCGCACTGACTTAACGAATGCCTATTCACTCTTGCCTTGAAGACACCCACATTGTAATCGGATGGAAAGACAGATGCTGGCAAATTATTCCACTCCTATGCTGTACGCATGACGTACGATGTAGCATACTGTCGGGTTCGAATGCGTGGTAAGTCGACAAGGAAAGTGTGGAGACTGGCCGAGCGTCTGGTATTCCGATGCTGGAAGGGAGAGGGAGGAATTAAGTTACGCAATTTATAGATTATTAATATTAGAAATCTTACACACGTGATGGTGAATTCTGGTACTGTACCATGTCATCAGGACTTAACTCGCTGCTCCCGTCACAGAATAAATAACTATATGCATCTATATCCTCCTGTAACCATGGGTACTATAAAGCACTCGAAAACTCGGAAATTTAAAATAAAGGTCGCTGGTGGTGCCCCTTTAACACGGACGCCTCGAATTTTATTGATGGAAGCTATGTCAATCTTAGCCACAAACTAATCGTTTACCGACAGACTAGCTTCAATAGAGGGGCCATTCATTCGGGGTCAGTGTAACTGCGTAGCTTAGTGTGAAAAGGTCTTATATTCATACACATACGGAGCGGATCATAAACGTTGGTGCTCCATTACTAAACTATTAAAGATTTATTTTTACGTAGGAGTAAATAATTTAATAATTATAAAACTATTGAATACTTAAGTCTCAATGTCGTATCTGTCCGTATCTTCGCAGTTGAATGAAGGTTAATGTAATTTTCTTAATGTAGGTCTAAGCGACTGTAGCTATTGATAATTTGACTTTCTCGTAATATTTTCATTTATTTTGTGTTAGGTATGTAATGAATGAATGGTGATTTTAAGTTGTTTTGTATTATAATGTCAGATATTAAATTCATAGGGTATAAATTGAACTGTAAAATAATAATTAATGTTTCCTATTTTTATAATAAATTACTATTTGTTAATTTTAAAATGTTTTTGTTTCTTTTTAATATCACATATAATAGAACATACATTTAATTAATAAATAATGCAATGAATAAATTAATAAATAAATCTTATTGTACATTACAAAAAGAAAATATACAGAAAACATTGAAAGCAAGTAAAGCACACAGTTTGGCGTCATTTCCGCTCTAAAGCGATCTCTTCCAGACAACCAAAGACGTCAAGAAATAGAGGTACAAGGTAGATGTTGCTATATTGCAAAATGTACATACTTACCATACTAAAAATAATAATGAATATGTATAAATAATTAATATTTAAAATTATATATATTAAATTTTATATTTATATGCATAAATATGAAAGTTAAAGTTGCAGCCTATATACACGGCCCACTGCTGGGCACAGGCCTCTCATTTTTGAGAGGGTTTTAGGGCAAGGAAATACGTACCTACGTCGCGCTGCCCCAATGCGTGTTGGCGAACTTCGTATATCTTCGAAATATTTTTTTATTTCTCAGACATGCCGGTTTCCTCACGATGTTATCCTTCACCGCCGAGCACGTGGTAAATCAGCACTTAAAATTGCAATTAACAACTTCATTGATGCCGGCAGGGATCGAACCTTCGCTCGCGTACTGTGAAATTTACAGCGAGCGCTTAGCTCTTAAAAACCACGGCATAGATATATGTATATAATAATACAATACAATAACTTTATTTCAGGCATCAAGGACTTAAAAATTAAGAACATTGGCCCATAGCAATATATACCTTAACCTAAAAATATATATACTAAATATATATACCTATACATATATATACACACACACATACACACACACACACACACACACGCACACACACACACACACACACACACACACACACACACACACACACACACACACACACACACACACACACACAAATATATATATATATATATATATCCCCGAAACTCTTCACCGCTGCATTGGAAGACGTTTTCAAGCTTCTGGACTGGAAAGGATACGGCATTGACATCAATGGCGAGTACATCACTCACCTTCGATTTGCCGACGATATAGTCCTTATGGCATAATCGCTGGAGGACCTAAGCACTATGCTCAATGACCTCAATAGTGTTTCCCAACGGATAGGTCTTAAGATGAACATGGACAAAAGAAAGATCATGTTTAATGTCCATGTCACACCTATGCCGGTAGTTGTTGGGAGCACTAAGCTCGAAGTTGTTGACGAGTATGTTTACCTGGGACAAATAGCCCGACTAGGTAAGTCCAACTTCAACCGAGAGGTCAATCGACGGATTCAACTCGGTTGAGCAGCGTTCGGGAAATTACGGCACATCTTCTCGTCAGGTATACCTCAAAACTTGAAAACAAGACTTTACAACCAGTGCGTGTTGCCAGTGATGACCTATGGTACTGAGACGTGGTCCTTCACTGATGGCCGGATGAGGAAGCTCAAGGTCGCTCAGCGAGCTATGGAGAGGGCTATGCTCGGAGTATTTCTGCGTGATAAACTTAGAAATGAGGATATCCGCAGTAGAACCAGAGTAACCGACATAGCCCAACGGATTAGTAAGCTGAAGTGGCAATGGGCCGGCCATATAGCTCGAAGAACCGACAGCCGATGGGAAAAAAGGTTCTCGAGTGACGGCCTCGTACCGGCGGACGAAGTGTAGGGCGTCCCCTCTAGTGGGGTGACGAAGCACGCTGTAAAGCCGATTGTAAATAGATGCAGTGTCCACGAACGAAACCAGGTTTAAATTTAGGGTTGGGCAAAAAATCCAGAGTATAATCCATAGCTGCAGCACGAATGGTTCGGCTATCCGTGGCAGGACCACACTCTTACAGAATACCAGCTTAAAATAGCAGCTTAACGCTGTAATGTTTCGTATGATGAGTGTAGAGAACCGGAGACCCTTTTACCTGTAATGAGTCATCTTTATTCTTCATCGAAAATAGATATAAAAATTGTGGATTTAAATTGAATTGTATGAAAGAGTAAAAAGACACTCCAACCCTCGTCTCTAACTATACGAAACACAACAGCATTATGCTGCTATTTCGCGCCGGTATTCTGTGAGATTGTGGTCCTACGAGGCATTCTATCTTCACGCGTCTGTATTTTCATTCGGAACCGAGAATAGATGTAGATGTCTATGGGCCACAGTCTTAAATTTAAACCTGGAATAGTCCGTGGACACTTTACTGTACTGTTGTGTAAAAAACTGCGCGTGTTTCCTTCTACTAATTAACGAATACGGCTCCTAAACGCCGGACCATAATCTCATAGAAGCTCATTTAAAACATAGTAAAATATTATATGTATATTTATTTAGAACTAGCTGTTCTCCGCGACTTCGCCCGCGTGTTATTTGGGGTTTTAATTCTTTTGCGCGTAACCCTAATTATTTTTCTAAAATAAAGGTAGCCTAAGTTACTTTTTGTGACATCAGCTATTTGCCAGTGAAAATCCCGTCAAAATCGGTCTAACCATTTCGGAGATCAGCCGGAACAAACAGACAGACAGACAGACAGACAAAAACTTTAAAAAATTTATTATTAGTGCCGTATATACTTTCATATGCATTTAGTAAAAAAACAGTAATTTTGACATTACAAACAGACACCTCAATTTTATTTATTTGTATAGATGTATGCAAAAGATTAAATTACATTAATGATAATTTTATTATCCATCCATCTGTCCATTTATGAATTTATTCTCTACCACCTATTTTGCTAGTAAGCGTATTATCCATACATATAATACAATACAAAAACACTCACGCCAGTTACCCAGAGAGGAGGCAGTGAATACGGATTTCCATTTGGCACGGCCCTGATACACCTCGCTCGCCTCCTTTACATCCATAGGTATATCTACGCATACATGGTCGTTGGTTAAGGTTACTACTAATCTGGCCATTTTTAATATATCGTCAATTTGATCAACGCTTGAGAAACAACGCAACAAGTGTGAATATACTATGAGGTTTTGCTGCTACTGCTAAAGTTCACTCCTGGATAAGGTGCTCTCTCGTAGAACGGCTGATTTCTCTTAATCCTCACGCTTTGCAGATCGATTGAAAACCAGTCGTCTGCCAAGACATATCGCACCCTTGACTTTACACCCCGTAACTGTTGGTCATGAGGTTCCGGGAATCCCGGGCCGAACTAAACCAGT